GTTGGGAGATTCGCCCTCGGGGCACGGGATAGGTACCATGGAGCCAGTACCCCTCCGTGTCAGATCGGACCCAGCCCGCTTCATGCCACCCCCCCCTCCTTCCAGTCCACCCAGTCCACCTGTGCCGAGCTTTCAAGGCCTGTTCCCCCTCCTCGTATTCCCCCTTCCCAGCCCCCCCCCCCCATCTCTTAATCCTCCCTCTTACTGCACAACCGCCATGAAGCAGACCAAGAACGAAGTCCTGATCCAAGATGCTGCGTCCACCCTCGTACAGCTCGCCTCGAAGCCATCTCAAGATGAGTCCAGCCCCAGCGACCTGCTGGATATCGGACATCTCGAGAGAGAGACGGTCTCCCTGTTCGAGCAGCACGTTCTCGAGCCGTTCCTCCTTGAGTCGTGCAAGAATGTCAACGGTACCTCTCACATCGTCTTCGACGACGTTTTCAGCCACGTCAAGTGCATCAAGAAGTGTGGCTCGTTCCTGTGCAAAGCAGACAACTCCCAGCTCCTGGTCGGGGTGCCCTACGGCAGGACCGCAGTATCGCAGCTTGAGCAGGGATGTATGTACACCACCGTGTCCGGGGAATACCGCTTCTACGTACACAAGATCTCACATCAAGGTTCTCTAGGGATGCGGCCGACTCCCGTCGAAGATGGCGAGTGCTTGGATCCTCGGCGAATCACCCTGACCCTCAGCATAGACCACATGGATCAGAGTCTCAACGAGACGCGAGCAGTCGACAACTCCAAGACGATGAGCCTCGTGCTCTTCCGATCCATGAAGCTGCAGAACGGAGATAGGAAGCAGCTCCTGCAAATCAATGGCCCCTTGACGGGAGAGGAAGTGGATGACTTTCTCAAGCACTTCATGTCTGAGGTCATGATCACTCCCATCGAGTGGAAGGAAGGTTCTTCCATCTACGGCGTCACAGACTCCGTGCTGCTTCACGAGCAGGGGTGGGGGCTTGACACAAGCGTGCTCACCGAGCTGACGGACGCGAAGGTGCTCCAGAACTTTGCCATCGTGCTCAACGTTGACATCGAGTGCTCTTTCTCGACGCTTGACGAGGCCTGCTCAGTGTTCAGCTGTCTCCCGGCGGCAGAGCAGGCGCGAGCAAGCAGGAGGTTCTTAGACTGGATCGTCTCGAGTACTCAAGGGGGACGTAAGCACTGGCGGCGAAAGATTCTGGAAGACTTTGACGAAGCTGTTTTACAGCATGAGCTTGACATCAAGAACTCCAAGTTTCGCAGCACCATCCTCAAAGGCCTCGGTAAGCGCCAGACGGTAACTCTACACAGGACGGGGATCTTGCAGATGCAGATGGTGAGGAGGCCGCGGGAGCTGCGGGTAGCAGTGGCGCGGAAGCTGGTCGAGCTCCATCGGGCTGCGATGAGCAACGGATGTGGTCAGCCCTTGTTCGTGCCGCTCGCTTTGAGGCACAACCGATGCCTCAAGCGACGGATCTTGAGCAGCCCTGCGGCAGATCCAAGGGCGTCAGTCAAGGCCGAGAAACGACAGCAATGTCAAGCGGGCAGCGCTTTCAAGCTTCAGAACCTCGGACAAGCGTCGTCGGGGCTTCCGATATCAGCTCTGGTCTCTTCGGAGCCTTCAACTGAAGAGACTCGGAGCGCCAAACGCATGAAGTTCAGCTCTCAACCGCTCAACACCAGCATGCTGCATGCATGCCTCCTGCCGAAAGTATCGCAAGACCTGCAGGCAGCAGCAAGCTTGTGCAGCCCCATCACAGTTCCTCTCATGCTGCCGGGTTGGATCGAGCTCGTGCCGCGGCAGATGCTTCCCGTCTATACTTGGCAGCCGAGTCCAGCAGAGCTGGCAGAGTTGCTGGCTCAGGCTCAGAACGATCTGTTGCGGGCCTCAACGATGGACGGTTCTAAGCCTCCTGGCAACTGATCATCGGAATAGACTAGGCGGAATAATTGTGACTCGATTGCTCACTGAGTTAGAAAAGTGACCAATGATATCCGAATAATAAGTTGTGAGTTTGACGGTGAACGTCATTTCCTTGCCTCTATATTGATTCTTGCGCTTTTCAAGTGATGATAATGGTTCTCAGAAGCACTGGCACTCTCAGCCTACTAGTTTAAGTGCCGGGTGTTGCTACTCATCATGCTTTTATGTTTCACGTAGTGATGCATTACCGGGCCCGGCCGGGCCCGGTGCGGTGGCGGTCACGGGTGATTTGGCTTGTCAAAATGGGAGAAACAAGATGAAGAGAAGCGGGAAAATGAAGAAGCCGCCGCACAGGAGTTGGTGACGGGAGGGGGGGAGGGGGGTTGGTGAGAGAGAAGGGGAGAGAAGGGGAGAGAGGGGGAGAGAGATAGAGCAATAGAAGGGGAAAGCGAGGCAGGGAGGCAGGGAGGGAGGGGCTGGGAGGGAGAGTCGGAGGAGAAGGGTGTGGGGGGTGAAGGAAGATATGTCGGGGTATACGTTGGTCAACCCGTTGGTGTCCGAGCTGAAGAAGATGATGGAAGAGGAGGTGAATCTTAGCCTTTCTTGCTTCCACTCCTCACTTCCTCCCTCCTGCCCAGCGCTTCCGAGAGGCTCTTGCCTGTGTCGAGAAGGAGCTAAGTGAGCGCGTTGCAGCCCTTCTCCTCCTCGATGACTGCAGTATGGCAGATGCTGAGATCAGCAGGCACCTCAGGGCTGAGCTTCTTGCCCTACGATGCTCCTTGTACCAACATGCAGGAGGCAAGGGAGGAGGAGGAGGAGGAGGAGGATGAGGAGGAGGAGGCTTGTTTACTGACATCTCTTCCTGTTCTGCAGCTGAGCAGAAAGCACTTGCAGATGCTGATGAGTGCATCAAGCTGACGCCAGACGTGACGGGGGGATACCTGCTCAAGGGACAGATCCTGAGCTCCTTGAAGCAGTTCGGAGATGCGCTGAATGTAGTGAAGCTCGGCATGGCGAGATGCAAGGAGGTGGCTGAGTTGGAGGAGCTGCTATCGTCCATCCAAGGGAAGATGGAGTTCAGGGATGCCAAGACGTCGCTGGAGCGCGGAGATGCTAGAAAATCTATCCACATCCTCACTAAGTTGGTCCGACAGTCGGGGGAGCTTCCTGTTGACCTGTTCAAGGTCAAGCTGCAGAGAAGCAGGGCGTTTGTCAGCGAGAGAAAGTGGCAGGAGGCGCTGGAGGATGCGCGAGAATGTGTCCGACTGTGTCCGAGGGACACCCGTGCGTGGATGGTGAGGGAGCGAGTTGTAATGATGTTTCTGGTGCTGGTGCTGGTGCTGGTGCTGGTGCTGGTGCTGGTGCTGGTGCTGCTAATGCTGTTGATGATGGATGTGGTAATGGTGATATAGTGCAGATGATGATGGAAGAAGGGAAGGAAAGCAACGAAGAAGAAGAAGATGACATAAGTTTGCAGGCGCTCTCCACTGCATATGACGGGATGGGGAGGATGCAGGAGGCAAGAGCCGCCTACTACAAGTCTCTTGACTTTGGAAAGAAGGTGCGGCTGTAACAAGTCACGATGCGCCGAAGATGATTCACACAGGATGAGGGAGACATGTTCCTCAAGGAGTTTGATAAGATGGATAGACTCCACCAGCGGGTAAGTGAGGAAAGAGGAAGAGGGAGGAAAATGAGAGAAGGAGGAGAACAGTGCATGGAAGTTGGTAGGGAGGTTGTGGAGATGAAGTGCGAAAGGAGGAGGAGGAGGAGATGCAGGAGAAGGGAGAGAGGCACGGGAGTAGGTAGAATGCGAGAAGAAGGGAAGTATCCAGTGGATATTGTCAAAGTCTGAGCAGGTTGTTTTCCAGGGAAACGCCTTGTTTTATGACCACCAGTTCCACGATGCCGAAGTATGTTACACCGATGCCATCAAGTTGAACTTGTCGGTGAGATTCAATCTTCATCAAATCTGATTTCTCGTCAATACTGCTTCCAAGTTTTCATCTCCTTCTTTTTGCTTCACCTGTGTTTCTACTCCTGCTCGATTTGCTTTACTTTCCTCCTCGTGATCTTCGTTCCATGTCCTTTGTTGTTTGTTGTTTGTTGTTTGTTCTTGTTCTTCTTTGAAAGGCAAGTTTCTAGTTGTCGCCAGCGGATGCATGGGAAGAACACTTTCAAGGCAAAATCTCAGCCAAGAAACGACTGCAGAGGCTAGCAGAGTTGTATTCAAACAGAAGTGCATGTTATGTTGCAAGGAATGAGTTCAAAGCTGCAATCAGTGACGCGAAGGTATCATGTCGTTTCATGTCATTGAGGTCTGACATATAGTAGGAGTGCATGAAGATTGCTCCGACGTGGCCGAGAGCTCATTTCAGGTTGTTGAGAGGAGGAGGAGGAGGAATGAAGGGAGGGCGGAGCATGAGTGAAAAGGAAAGAGCAGAGAACACTCACATAAAGAAATGACATGTGATGTCGGCAGAAGGAGGAGGAGAGTCAAGATGCTAGGAGAGGAGAAAGAAGGACGGGAGAGAAGATGAGATTAGAGGAGAGAGGGGAGAGGAGGGAGGAGGGAGGAGGGAGGAGGGAGGAGGGAGGAGGGAGGAGAGTTCAGAAAAGAGGCTTTGACGTGTTCTGTTTGTCAGGCTCGGGTCTTCCTTGTTCGAGTCAGTCAAGCAGGCAAACTTAGCAGAGCTTTACATGCGGAGCGACACAGGTAGAGCAAGTGAGGGGGGAGCGACAGGGATAGAGAGGGAAGAGAGCCAGTTTGATGGGATGTGAGGAGAGGAGAGGAGAGGAGAGACGGAAAAGGGGAGAAAAAAGAGAGAGGAGGAGAGGGGAGGGGAGGGGAGGGGAGAAGAATCAGAGGGGAGAGGAATAGCGAAAAGGAGGACGTCTGAAGTGAACTGGCGCAGGAGATCTACGAGATCTGATCCGAGCAGAGCGAGCATTAAAGAAAGGATTTGAACTCGCTCCTCCTCCTGGCGACCAAGGTAGTAGCTTGAGGAGGAGAAGAGGAGGAGGAGGAGGAGAGTAAGGAGCAGGAGGAGAGCGAGGAGGAGGAGAAAGAGGAGGAGGAGAAAGAGGAGGAGAAAGAGGAGGAGAAAGAGGAGGAGGAGGACAGTACAGAGAGATACTGACTTCGTGTCTTCCTTCAGCTTGTCTCGACAAGTTGTCGGAGCTACAAGATTTCAAGGCTGCCACTCTTGAAGGAGCGGAGGAGGAAGAGATGAAAGCGCGCAAGGTCAGACCTCCTTCTCCCCTCTCTCTCCTCTCTGCTGATGCTCCCATTTCTTCCGCAGCTCTTTGCAGCATCAAACATGTCTGCTGCTGCTGCTCGCCTTGAAAACGTTGAGAGAAAAAACCTGATTATGCTTTTGCTTGCTCCTCCTGCTCCGCCTCGTTCTCCAATTCGTCCTTCTCCTCCTCCTGCTCTTGTTCTTGGCCTGCTGCACCTCTTTCTCCTGCTCTTCCTGTTGCTCCTGCTGTTGATCTTCTTCACCCCTCTTCCTCCGCTTCCTCCGCTTCTGATGACCAGAACTCAGTGTTGACTTTCTCCTGCTGCTCACTTAAATTTCCAGGCTCTCCACCTCACCGCCTGCGTGTACGGCAGAGACAGCAAGGAAGTGTTGGAAAGACTGCGGGACATCGCAGATCTGAACGACGTTGTTGGTGAGCATGGAAGAGGATAGGATGAGGATGAGGACGAGGATGAGGAGGGGGAAGAAGAAGAGGAGGAAGATTGGGAAACTAGTAGAAGTAGTAGAAGGAGGAGGAGGAAGAACGGGAGGGAGACCCGGTTGGGAAGGTGAGAACGAGATCCCGCAGGAAACTACGAGTCGACGATCCCCATCAGGACGAGGTTAATGCAAGAGAAGGTGAAGAGAGGAGGAGGAGGAGGAGGAGGAGGAGGAGGAGGTGTGGGGGGGGAGGGGGGAGAGGAGGAGGAGGAGGAGGAGAAGGAGGAGGAGGAGGAGGATGTGGGTACAACAAGAGATTGCTGCCACCTCAATTTGTTCTGAGCAGCCGATGAGCATGGTCAGAGCCCTTGACCTTGCGTTAGCCTACAAGGTGTTCTTTCCGCTCGTCCTCGTCCTCGTCCTCGTCCTCGTCCTCGTCCTCGTCCTGCTCTCCTCCTCCTCATTTTATCCGTCCCCGTTGCCCTGCTCCCGTTCAACAGTTTCTTCTTTTCCTCTTTCTTCCTCCTCTTCTCTCGTCTTCCCCAATCATCTAACATTATGAAGAATTGCAAACAATATGAATCAGCTGTGTTTGTCTACAAACAAGTTCTTCAAAACCTCAACACTCAGTGCGAGGTGAGGAGGGTGAATCTTGAATTCCTTTCCTCTTGCCTCCCCTCTTCGTCCTCCTGTTTCACCTGCTTCCCTGCTCCCTTGTATTCCTCTTCCTCTTCCTCTTCCTCTTCCTCTTCCTCTTCCTCTTCCTCTTCCTCTTCCTCTTTCTACTAATCGACTTCCTCGTCATCCTCTTCCTTCTCAGACTTTTCCTTCTCCACCTTCCCCAATCATTTTCGGTTTTGCAAGGCCACCATAGAAGAAGCGCTGGCCATGAACGAGATCGCGGGTTTTCCCATCTTCTCCTCCTCCTCCCTCCCTCAACGCGTGTCAGGATGCTATAGGGAGATGAATCAGCCGCAGCAGGCGTACCAAGTCTTGCAGCTTGTCAGTTGTTCTTTGAATGATTGTTTTCTCTGTGGTTCCTGACATGCTGGCGAGTTTCGCTGATACTGCATTCACTTGTCAAACTATTTCATCTCTTCCTTCCTTATTTGACTTTTCATCTTCTTCTCACATTATTCCATGATATCATCTTCTCCGAACATCACATCAACGCTCGTTTTCTTGGATGTATTCTTTTGACAATGTGATGTAATCCTAAGATGTCTTTCAACTGACGACGTGTTTCTCTTGTACCGCAACTTCTCTTCTCTTGTACCCTGATCCTCTTGCAGGCTGTTGAGCTCTCTAGAAGGCTTGGAGGAGACGTAAGAGGAGGGAGGAGGGAGGAGGGAGGAGGGAGGAGGGAGGAGGGAAGGAAGGGAGTACATCTAGGAGGAAAAGGAGGAGATATTAACTTTTCTTTGTCTCACATCAAACGTTTCTCAGCTCTCGTCTCTGTATGCCATGACGTTGCAGAATCTCCTGATAATTCTCAACATGATGGGAACGTGAGTCTGCTCTACTTGTCCTGCAGCTGATTCTCTTTCTTGTGTTCTCCCAGCCGCCAGTTTGAGGCTCAGGAGCTGAAGAAGAGAGCGTCAAAGTAAGCCTCCTGCTGCTGCTGCTGCTGCTGCTGCTGCTGCTGCTGCTGCTGCTGCTGCTGCTGCTGCTGTTCCTCCTTCTCCTCGTCCTTGTCCTCGTCCTCGTCCTCCTCCTCCTTGTGTTGAGCATCCTCTCAAAGCATTGCTACCTGTCCTCTGCATGACATTCCTGTCAGGCTCCTCCGCCACATGCCCGCAAAGGATGGGACTGAGAAGAGCGGCAATTCTCCTCCCCTCTGCTCTGCTCTGCTCTGCTCTGCTCTGCTCTGCTCTGCTCTGCTCCTCTCTCTTTTCTTCCCCTTTCCGTCCTGTCGTCAGACATGACTTGCCTCGCAGTCTTCTCGCTCAGCCTGGACATCTGGATGACTACTGAAGATGTCTTCAATGTCAACCGATGGCCCAACAGAGTCGTCAGGAATATGGTCCTTCATCCCTCAGCTGCTGCTGCTGCTGCTGCTGCTGCTGCGCTTGTTTCTCTTCTGCCTATCATTCCCATTTTCCTCCTCTTCCTCTTCCTCTTCCTCCTTCTTTCTGTCTCTGTCTTCTCAATCTCGCTACTTCTTCTTCTGCTCCCTTCCATCTCCCTCCTTCTTTCCCTTCTCCTCAACTCTGATCTTTGACGGGGTTGCAGCCTGTGGACCTTGACATGTCGAGTTTTGACATGAGGAGTTCGAAGAGTCTTGACGTAAGGAGTTCGAGAGGGAGTGAATCACATGTGACTAGAAGCGTTCATGAAGAAGGTTGTTGCATGCTCCTGCTCCTGCTCCTGCTCCTGCTCCTGCTCCTGCTCCTGCTCCTGCTCCTGCTCCTGCTCCTCACCCTTGTTTCTTTCACTGTCCTCATGATACCTACAGAGGCTCATCACAGCCTCCTCGACCTCAACCTCACTCCTCGTCTCGTCGATGACTCTGCCGTCCGTCGCCTCTCCGTCGCCAGTACCCCCCACACTCGCGACAAACTTGCTGCCAATCGCGAAGGTCTCCTCTACCTCCTTCTCTCTGCTCCGTGCTCCATGCCCCCTTCTCCCTGCCGCTCTTTCTGCTGCCTCTGCTCCATCCTCGTCTTTCATTCCTCAAGTCTTCCTCCTGCACTTCTTCTCTCTGGTCCTCACCTCTTCCTCTGCACGCAGACGGCTCGGTCAGAGGCATCACCCCAACTTTCGCTGCAGTCCATCGGGACGGCCAGAGCTCCGTCGCCACCTCCGTCGAGTCAGGGCGATCGCTCTCAAGGGTTGAGAAGGTACGAGGAGTGGCAAGAGAGCCTTGCTAATAGGGGGGGAGGAGGAAGAAGAGGAGGGGAAAGGAAGGAGTAGAAAGGATGATCGTAATGATGACGAGGAGAACGTGGTGGTGGTGGTGGTGGAGGAGGAGGAGGAGGACGAGGTGTGAGGAGGAGGAGAGGGGGGGGGGGAAGGAGGTGTATGGCTTGACTCGTGGGTAGATGCTGCAGGAAAGAGCAGCAAAGAGAGCAGTGGAGGAACAGCGGCGCGCAGAGACGCGTCCAGCCAACTACATTCGATGAGGGGGGGGTGCGTTTGGAGGAGGAGACGAGGAGGAGGCAACAAGGAGGGAGAAGGGGTTTGGAAGAATCGTATCATCATGTATATATCTTGTATGCCTGCAGCCTCCTCCTGCTCCTCAACTCCTGCTCCTTCTCCTTGCCTCTGGGTTCTCAGTTCGCTATCTTCATCGTTGGATCGCAGCAAGATCCCACACCATCTCAGTCGTAGACTTCCCCTGCCTTCAAGAACATCAGTGCTCAGCTTCATACTCTCCTCCTCCTCCTCCTCCTCTCCCTTCCTCCTATCCCTTCCTCCCTCACCTCGCTGTGAGGATCTCGACGCCAGTCTCTGTGACCAGGAAGGTGTGCTCAAACTGAGCAGACCTGAGAAGAAACAACTTGAGCACCCGGTATCCTCTTACTCCTCCTCCTCCTCACCTCTTTCCATCTCGTGTTACGGCTGTCCATCCATCCGGCCATGAGGTATCTTGCCAGTTCGATCCCAAGTTGATCATCGGCTCGATCTGATGTACAGCAACTTGCACGTCACCACCCGCACAACTGAAGACACATGCTGCTGCTGCTGCTGCTGCTGCTGCTGCTGCTGCTTGGACGCATCCTGCCTCTCAATCCTCTCACTCCCTCCTGGATCTCTTTCCCCCCTTCTCTCATCTTTCGCTCTCTCTCGCTACTTCGCAATTCACTCTCACCGTGAAGGTATGACCAGCCTTCATGATACCGACAGCCTTGTTCTTCTTGTAGTGAGGGATGTTTGGTGTCGTGTGGAAGAGGTTCCCAATACCGTGACCTGCAGGCAAAACGAATCAACTGAAGTTTTAACCGACCGACATCCCAAAAATCTAAAATCTCAGCGGAGGTCTAAAAACAGAAACAACACATAACCAGCTGCAAAGTCTCAACCAACTGGTAGGGACTTTCTCCTTCGTTCCTACTTCTCTTCTTGGCCCCTCTTCTTGCTGACTGCCTGCCTGCCTGCTTCTCACCGCAGTATCCTTTCACGACGGCACACCCGTTGGCAGCAGCAACGTGTGAGATTGTGGCGCCGAGATCGCGATACATGGTGCCAGGACGGATCATCTCGCATGCTGCCTGCAGCAGAATGTAAGAAGCAACTTTCTTCTGTTCTTCATCAGCATCTCTACAGTCACAATTGCAATCATCATCATCATCATCATCATCATCATCATCATCATCATCATCATCATCATCATCATCATCATCATCATCATCATCATCATCCCCTCCTCCTCCTCCTCCTCCTCCTCCATATCATCATCCTCTCCATGACAGAAATCACGGTCAACTTGCCTTCAAGCAGTCGTAGGCTGTCTTCACTAGCTTCACACTTTCTTCATCGCACTTCCCAATCAAATAGGTCTCGTTGAGATCTCCATGATACAGTTTGCCCTGTCGCAACCCGTCTCATTTCAACCCACTTTCCTGTCACAACGACATCTTCTACCTTGTACTCCACACAGACCGTCACGTCCAGGTTGACAATGTCTCCATCCTGCGAAAACTTCAACATGACGCTCCAAAAACACCAGTACCACCAGCCCCAACCCCAACCCCAACCCCAGTCCTCTCATTCTTTTCCTCCTCTACCTGGATGGGCCTGCAGTCTGGAATTCCATGGCAGATAACCTCATTGGGGCTAACGCAGACGGACTTGGGGAACTGATGGTAGTTCAAGGGGGAGGGGTAGCAGTTGCGTTCCATGCATGCCGCGTGAACGATGCGGTCGATCTCATCCCCTGTCACTCCAGCTCGGAGGAACCTTGCCGCAATGTCTAGCACCTCTCTTCCGAGCCTTCCAGCCAGTCTCATCCCCTCGATAGAGTCGCCCTCCTTCACGTCCACCAACGTGCTCCTCTTCGCCTCGATTTCTCCTAACGGGATCGACTTCTCCGCATAGTCCGGCTGGGCGATGTGAGGAGGGACCTTGACTTGAGGGGTGACGTACGCAGGACGGAGCGATCCCGTGAAGTCGTAGCCGCGGAAGATGGGCGGCATCTCGAGCCGCTTGTCCGCTGGCACCATGTCCACTAGGTAGGCAGTTTCGGTGAGAATCTTCTTGCACCACTCGTCGAAAGCTGCCTTGTCTCTCGCCTTCTCCTGCTGCTTCTTCTTCTTGGCATTCTTCTTCTTCTTCGCCTCCTCGCTTTCTTCTTTCCCCTCCTCGTTCTCATTCTCCGAGGGTTTGAACTCGCTGTTCGCGGTCTCCTGCATTATGAGGCCGTTTTCCTGCATGATCTTTTTGACCTTCTTCTCGGAGACTTCTAAGTTCTTGGTTTCCTTCAAGAAAGACCATACCCTCTTGATCCCAAAGTCAGGATGCTCCTCCTTGACCTCCCTGCAAGACAAGTTTCAGAAACCACGCCCCCCTCCAGTCGATCCGATTCCTCTACATGATCACTCCCAGGGCACGGGCATATCGAGCCGGACTTGCTCTCACGAGCTGCATCAACACATCGCATCCTCGTTCATCCCTCCTCTCACCTGATCGCTTGCAGCAGCGCCTCCCCTTCCATCGCCTGCTTCCCGTCGTCCTCCATGACTGCACGCGCGCCCACCAGCGGTAGCTGACCGTTACATTCCAGGGAAACCGTTTCACATTCTGTCCGTCAGTTACGTTTCTCGTTATTTGGCACTCTGTAGGTGTAACGTTAAAATAACGGTCATGTGATTAGTCAACGTGCGACTCTTGGCGGTGGGCATGCAGCGGTGAGTGTCTGTTGGGGGCGGAGGAGGGAGGAGGGAGGAGATGGAGGGAGAGGAGAGGAGAGGAGGGAGGGTAAACTCATCAGACAGGAGGGGAGAGACGAAGAGGATGGGAGAGGAAAGGAAGTTCTCCTTGGAGGTGAAGTGATTGATGGGATCCCAAAGGAGAGAAGGAAGTAGAAGATTTTGTGGAGACCCTTATCACGGCCAATTTTAGCAAGATGAGCAGAAGATTGAGTGAAGAACCTATGATAATGATGATGAAAGTTGTAGAAGTATGTTTGGGGTGCGGTTGCCATGGTTTGAAGTACAACACTTGCGTTTCTTACGGCAATCGACAGGATGTAAAGGAGATCGAAGGTTTTGTACTGGAACAGAACTTTTGGTGTGATAAATCCTTTGATCTGCATTGAAGATGGCAACGGGTCTTGACGACAACTTCGTGACCACCGACTACCGCCAACTGGCGTCATACCCCGTCCGCAGCACAGGAGGGTATGGAGGAGAGGACGTTCCCCTCATCTCGGGGCAGAATGGAGCTCCCGTGACCTTCACTCAAATCGAGCACGTTCCGACACAGTCCATCGGGAACCATCAACCATCTTTGATCCACATCGATGGCAAGGACGTGTGAGTATCTGCTCCTCCTCGACCAGGATGCTGCGTCTGACACCGCCTGTTGCAGTGATGTCCCCAAGTACGAGTTCCCGGGGTGGGTCCCTCCCACTGAGCTGAAGCTCGAGACCCTTGAGGCTGTGGACAAGAAGTCGTTGCATCATCCTTCGCGGGGAGTGTTGGGTGAGATCTATGCCACTGCCATCGCTGGCAACGACGTCACCTCTTCGGTCTTGTACATCGTCGGTGTCACCAGCACGCTTGCTGGGCAGTTGTCACCGATCTGCATGTTGCTTGCTGGATGTGTCTTGTACCTGTTCAAGGCCATCATCGGCGAGGTTGGTGTTCGAGGAGATAGTGTGTTCCATTCACGTTTCCTGACAGGCCGGGTCCGCGATTCCTCTGAATGGAGGCGCGTACAGTCTTCTTCTTAACACAACCACCAAGCCCATGGCTGCTCTTGCCGCATGTTTGACGCTCTTGTCGTACGTGGCGACGGCAGTAGTGAGTGCCACAGAGTGCATGACATACGCCTCCAACTTGGTTCCGGAGCTGGATGTCTACTGGGGCACCATCATCCTGCTGGCATTGGTGTGTATCTTGTGCATCCTGGGAATCACTGAGTGCGCCTTCCTTGCGGTTGGAGTTTTCATCGTGCATATCGCGTCCATGTGCTTCTTGATTGCTGTGGCCGCCACATTCATGGTGCAGAACCCCGAGATCATGGCAGCCAACCTGCGCGAGCCTCTCAAGTACGACTGGCCCCTGTCGCTCATCTTCGGCTTCTGCGTTGCCTTGCTCGGAGTCACGGGGTATGAAACTTCGGTCAACTACATCGAAGAGCAGCAGAAGGGCGTGTTCTTCAAGACTCTGTTCAACACTTGGCTGATCGTGTTCCTGATGAATCCAGCCCTCTCCATCGTCTGCATGGGGGTATTGGACCTCAACACCATCGAGTCGCATCACCGAGATGTTCTTGCCAAGGTGGCGTATGACGCTGGCGGGAAGTACTTTGGCCTGTGGATTGCAGCAGATGCATGCACGGTGTTGCTAGGATCGCTCATCACGGCCTTCGTTGGCATGACCGGAGTTGCGAGGAGGCTCGCACTCGATCGCTGCCTGCCGCAATTCCTTCTTGCTGAGAATAGATGGAGGAGGACCAATCATCTCATTCCCTTCACCTTCTTTGTGGTGTGCACCCTCCTCTTCGTGCTGCTCAACGGAAGCGTCAGGTCCCTGGCCAACGTCTACTCCCTGGCGTTCTTGTGTGTCATGAGCTTGTACGCCATCGGAACGATGATCCTCAAGTACAAGAGAGGATCGATCCGACGAGCGGTCAAGGCATCTTGGCCTACCTGCTTCGCTGCGCTGGCGTTCAGTGCCATTGCAATCCTCGGGAACGTCCTTCTGGCTCCGAACCACCTCATCTGGTTCATCATCTATTTCGGAATCGTCTCAGTTGTCATGCTGGGCATGTTTGAACGAGTTCGCGTGCTCAAGTGGTTTTTGTACGCTCTGTCACAGAGCCCTCAGTCATGGCAAGATCGCTTCGCCGGCGTCACGCAGATGGTGAGGAGAATTGAGTTGTTATTGACGCTACTTGTAGAATTCATCGACTAATCATGTCTCCGTGCAGGCGATGGACAAGATTCGGAGTCAGAAGGTTGCTTTCTTTGCAACCAGCGAGAACCTGGAGATCCTTTCGAAGGCTGTTGCTTACATCCAGAGCAATGAGCTGACTAAGTGGATCAAGGTATGTACCCCAATCTTGCTCCATGTGGAGCTGATAGACTTTTATTGCAGATCGTCTACCTTTATGAGGATCTCAACGACCCTGTTATCAAGCGATTGGCAGAGAATCTTCGTGTAAGTTCACAGCTGAACGCCTTTTGTCTCCGCTCCCTTTCCTCTACTCTTGTTACTACTCTCCTACAGCCTTTCCTTGCCTTTGCATTATCGCTTCCTGCCTCTTCTTTTCCGAATCTCATCGGCGGATCTTTCAGGTCATCGACCGCTGCTACCCTAAGATGGTCTTCGACCTCGTGCTGGTAAACCAGGACATGTCGCCCGAGGTTGTTGCTCAGATCTCTCTCCGTCTTGGTATCCCTCGTAACTTCATGTTCATCTCTTGCCCTCCTGAGGTGAACTCTTGTTTTCTTCTCCCTTGACCTGTAAGCTCATTGCCGTGACAGAACGTCGTGCTGGACATCGCGGAGTATGGAGGCCTTCGAATCATAACGCATTGAGAGGACAACAAGACGTCGTCATGGATTATTCTTACTCGTTCAAGAGCGTTTGGAAAACAATGCGAAAAAATTGAAATACACGATTCTTTCTCTGATTCGCATGTTATTGCCCGATGTGAAGGCATCGCGTGAGGATGTCAGGCTCCTAAGAAACCTTCTCTTGTCTTCACCAATCTGGCACATGAGTGACAAGACACTTGTTGGTTCAGCTTAATTGCATTTATCATGATCACCATTCGTGAGGAATTTGTGTTATCAGAGTGAAACTTATATCTGGGGTATCCTTCAATCAAAAAAGGCCTTGTTGAAACTCACGACTTCTGCATGAAGAAAACCAGCGCACCAACGATGACGGCAATTGCCGCAACCACCATGACAATCATCATGGCACCGCCGCCATCGCCCTTGGAGAAGTCCTTGTTCTCGACTCCGTACCTTCCTCTGAGCTGAGAAGCAGATAGAGAGTTGTCAGGTGCCGAGCCCCCTCGACCTACCGCACGCGAGTCATGCTCCTTCCCCTCTGCTCGCTGCTGTGTTACCGTAGCGCTGTCGAAGCTGGGAGGCACTCATCTCATCGTCCGCCATGTCTCTGGTGTTGGTTGTAGCCTATGAAGAACTCAGGGAGGAAGTTCTGAGCAAACTCAAAGGTTCAGATGAGATGACGATACAAGTAAGGAAGGAGAAAGTGATCATGACTCTAGAAAAGTTCCTTCAAGGAAACAAACGTTCCTCCATCTTCGATCTGCGCATTCCTATCCTGCCAAATTCACCTTTGCCTTACTCTCCCACACCTCTTTCTTCTCGAAGAACAACCACTATCTGGTCAGTCTGTGACGTCATCAAGAAGAGGCCAGCATTGGTTACCGAGAGTCTACCTGACATAACAACCTGAGGGAGAGACTATAGAGATGAGACTTTACTCCTGCCTCTCAACAATCTCCTCTTTCAGGTCGTTACCATCTTCTCACATAGGTGTCACTCTCATCTCAATCTGCCTTTACTCTTTCTCTCATCGACAGCCTCCTCTGCAAGTCAAATCCACATTGCTAGGCCCGTTTCTTGCCCTCCTTCCTCTCCCAGCACCCCTTTATTGCTGCACACACCTGTATCATCCGCTTCACTGACCACATTTCACACAAACCTCGAAACATGCAGCCACCATCTGCCTATTCATCACGTCTATACCTACTACCTAAACAAATGACACTGTCCCCCCGCTTCCGCTTTTGCACCGCTCGCCTTCGCCGTCACCGTCGCAATCCCCTGCCCCCCCCCCTTCCCCCCACTCTCATTCCTCTCCTCGCCTCTTCCTTCTTCCCCTCTCTTGTCTCCTCCCTCCTCCCTCTCCCTCTCCTTCTGCTCCCTCCTCCTTCCCTTGGCATCCACCAATTTCAGCTTCGTCGTCACGCATTGGTGGTGGGGACCCCACCAAATTGAATATCACCCCTCATCTCCACACCTCCATATCTCAAAAATTGCTATACCCCTACTAATATCCGTTAGGTACCATACTAAATGAGAGGTACTTTGAGTACCCCATCGACGGACTACCCTACTCAGACTCGATACCACCCAATAAAATGTCACAGACCCCTACTACTTCCCCTCACTTGTGGTGGGTGATACTCATCCCCCTCATTCCCCTCTACTGCCCCGAACATCTGCCCGATCATCCGGCTCGGCCCGAGTCAGTTCCCGGAGTCTGTTCCGGCATGATGCGGCAACTTGCCGGACTCAAGCACACTGCCATGTGACTCCGAGCCGCCGGGCCGCTGTGAGTCGGGCCGCCGGGCCGGGTATCCGGGCGGGTCGGCCTCAGTCTCGTCCAGCCCAATGGCGTACTGTACCGTACACCGACTCCGCCAAGCCGGGATAGACTCAGTGAGTCATCGGACTGAGAACGTCCTGTGAAAATAAATTTAATGGATTGCGAGCTCCCTTGATCGTAGGTTTGCCGGCTCAATAGAACATTTGAACTTCAGCTGAAATACTCAAAATCCTGAATTCAAATTTGAAATATTCTTCATTGTCATCTGAAAATCTAAATTCTGTACCCCTACATAATCCCAGCGATAACACCGGTAATCGAAAATGCCAGGACCCTCGTGATGCAGTACCCCTATGGCTTAGCGCTTTTGACACCCCTCCTTTTGCCACTCCCTGCCCCACGCGCCCCTACCCCTACCCCATGTCCCTTCAGGACTACCCCTACTTTGTCGAACCCCATGATTCCGATTTTATCCTGTTGGCAAGGGGTACGGTAGTGGCAAAATTCGGGGGGCTCCATTAAAAAGCTTCAATGTGAGGAGATTTTATATGTTGTAACTCATTATAAAACTCATATCCTTCTCTCTTGTCCCTTTTTTCCGCGTCATGATATTCAAGCGGGGGTCCTGCAGTCTTAACGTATCACCCTACCCACCCTATTCATCAACAATAGTACCCCTACCCCCTATAGTCTCCCGCTCCTTGCCCTCCCCTCCTGCATCCCTTGCTCCCTCCTACCCTCCCCACGCAGCACCCCCTTCTTACCTCCTCCCGCACTCAGTCGCCACCTCCTCCCACCTTCCTCCTCCCTCCGACTCGAAGCCAACCCCTCCTTGCTTCTCCTCTCCTCTTCTCTGCTCTCCGCACTTCACCGCTTGTCCTTCTATGCCCAAATAGCCCGCAGGGGGTGTCCCTTCTGCACCCTATTTGCAGTGAAGTTGCTCAGAAGCATAGCGGCAAATCGACGTGAATTGAACACCCTCAGCCTGCTGCATAGCAGACGCAAGAGATACCAGCTCGTCTCTCTGCCAGTCGTGCGAAACTGCAGCCCATTCTTGCGGTCAGGAGTTGTGGTGAAGGGGTGGCTGTCACGTGAGCCGGGAGAAGGATGATGGTCGATAGCAATCACACAGTGTGCGACAAGATGGATGTTGATGCTCCTCCCTCCTTCCTGGCCAACGAGATCGACCATGCCGACGAACCCGAGGCGCTGGTGATCGAGCCATGCGGAGATATCATGGAGTATGTGGTCGGGGACGCCAAAGATGATGCTTCCACGGCCACCGGCAAGCGGGCGAAGGAGGCAAACATCATAGAGCATACCAATGGCGAGGAGCACATGGATGTGAATGGGGCTGTGCCAGCTGGAGACGAGAAGACATCTTCGGACGAAGATGACAAGTCATCTCCTTGCGGCAAGCAAAGAAGCGAATCACAAGAGAAAGCAGAGAGGCAAACTGAAGCAGGTGAACATGATGATGATATCTAGACGTCTCATGCAGGGAAACGATTGACATGTCTTTCTCGTGCACAGCAGTGGATGCGAAGGATGCCCCAAGTGAAAGTCATTCATCAGATGCAGCCAACGCGTCAGTTGAGGTCCGTGCTTTGCGTGATGAGAGATTCTGTTGTGTACTGACCTTGGAGAAGGATGACGGCCCTCAAGAGCTGCATGAAAGTGCAGATGTCGATCAAGATTCTTCCAAGCAAGTCGAAGGACAAGCCAGAGCCAAACGTAGTGCCACAGACCCTCCTTCCCAAGGAAACCCGTCCTCTGGGGCTGATGATCAGGAACAAGACACCGGGAAAGCTGCTCAAGGAGAGCAAGGATCGCATGATAGTACTGAAAGGCAAGTCACCCAAGAAGATGTGGAAGAACAGACTCAGAACGATGGTAAAGAAGGGATGCTGAACAAGAAGGAATCTGCAGGTCTCACCAATGACAAGGATTCCTCCTCCCACTACGCTGGTGACTCCAAGAAGAATAGTTCGAACTCTGCGTCTGCTGTGACAGAGCATCCTGTACAAGATTCTGAACAAGTAGAGCAGAGGAAGAGCGAGTCCCCGAATGAGGAGGAATCGCCGAGGGCAGAGGAAGACACTATCTCTGAAGAGAAGGACGACGATGCGAATCCAGACGATGCTTCAGAGACTGCGTCAAAGACTGTGCAGAAGTCTTCTTCTCAATGCAAGAATGACAGGGACAATGCCGCGTCAAATCAAGGAGGCAGTCCGAACGACGATGAAGCCGACGATGCTGCAGAAGAGGAAGAGAAGATGGATGACAATCTGTCTCAGGAAGATCCGATGGACACTGAAGGATCGTTGGCTACCAACTCGCCCATGTTGAAGAGGGAAACATCATCCTTAAAGGATGAGGAGGAAGAGCGATCTGATACCGAGGCTTTGCAAAGCCAGGAGGAGCTGGGCGAGGCAGGGGTAAGAGCCTATCGTCTTGTTCCCCCCTCATGGCTGACATTTTATACAGAATGATTCTGGTAAACGAGAAAGGAGTTCAAGCCGCAGGTTCTTTTGTTTTTTCCTCTTGCTGTTGTTGCTGGGTTGCTGAAATGAATGCCAGGAACACTCGCCCACAGAATCGAAGAGACACGAAGTCAAGTGAGAAGAACCGAAAGAAGAGCAGGAAAGAAGCATCCACACCTTCAGCAGAGAATGATCAGACACAATTGGAAACGAGTGCAGAGCAATCGAATCAAGACGACGACAACAAGGCGAGTCAATCGACTGTTGGGGACGATGAGGTGAGCGAATGACATGGTTGGTGTTTCGTTGACTCGATCGCAGGAGAACCTTGTCAAAACTGCAAGGGATCAAGAGGACGATGACTCAAAGATTGGCATTGAAGCGAATGGATCTACTTCCATGAGCAAGTCGACCTGCCGGAGGAAGCGACCGCGAGCACTCGAGAAGCCTGATGTACCCGCTGTGATCGGCCCCAGAAGGAACGTTCTAACTGCTCAACTCAGGAGATGGGCGATCCAATCCCTTCACCAAAGTTTCCGTCGTGGGACCCTACCCGACCGCTGCCAACCTGGGTTCCCTCACTAGCGCCCGCTCCGACTAGTAGCTGACCATTGTTGCTACAGGCGTTGGACCTTGAGAACACAGAGATCACGGAGGAGGAGAAGCAGGCAGTGCCAGAGTTCTTCTGCGGTCGACCAATCAAGACCCCAGAGAGGTTAGTTGAATGAAAGGGAGGGAAAGGAGGGAGGAGCAGTTGCGAGGTGCAGAATGGGGGAGTTGACGCCTATTTCAGGTATTTGGATATCAGGAAACATTTGCAGCGCCTGTGGTTGTCGCAGAAGCCAAGATATCTGAAGAAATCAAGGTTTGTGGGAAGCCCTCTCGTTTGCTCGTGACCTTCTCCCTTGTGTTTTGCTTCCCCGACTCGTTCCTGACTGGTTCCTCGTCCCCTTCCCTCCTCGTCCCCTCTCCCCCTCTCCCCCAGTCTTGTATAATGACCTTTTATCCTTCAGCTGTCTGGGCATCAAGGGAGACGTGAACGCAATCGGAAGAGTTCACGCTTACCTGGAGGTCAGCTCTTGACGCCCCTTCCCTTGTCCATAACGCGAGCTTGACAGACTATCGGAGTGATCAATGTTGGGCACATCAGCGCGCAGATGGAGAAGGAAGCATCGGCAGCAAACAGAAAAGACTCTTCGAGGAGAGATCGACCGAAACAAGTGAGAGGAGTCTTGCGGTCTCTTGTGAGGCACAAAGGTGACTTGAAGGCTGTACAGTCAAGCAAGAATCGGAACGCGCGTAAGGACAAGGATCGTTCCGATGACCAGGTGAGTTGCCTCGCACGTGCCCCCGTCTCCCTTAACCCTCATCAGGCCCGTGATCGAAACAACGAAGCCGAAGTGAATCCCGACTCCTTCCAGCGCCTCCTCAACAACGTGAGAGCCAACACGCGTCCTCATACCCCAAAACACCTCTCTCCCCATCGTCCCATCCGTTTTTCTTGGTCTGCTGACGCCACGTGCAGGCATGTTGTCGCGAAGAGCATTCGTTCGACTCCCTGCTAGAGAAGGAACGTCGCAAGAAGAAGGTCTCCTCCTGAGAGTCACCAACTCCCTCCTCCTCCTCTGACACAGAGAGCCAGAATCGAACCGAGGCCTGGCTGACATCGAGCTCAAGTGTGGACCAGGTCTTGAAGCTCACACCGAATGTGTTTCCTCCTCCTTTTTCTGCGCTCCTGTGATGTTCGTTTCATTTCCTCACTTGCCCTCCTGCCTATCCTCATCTCCTTTCCTCATCTTCTCTCACTGCACGTTTTCGATGCTCACCTGCTCAACAGAATGGAGGATACCAAGGAGGATCTGGAGTCTGTGTCCTCATGTTGTCACCGGGCGAAGTCAATCAGGTCAGTACAACAATCTGCTCGGCTCTGCTCTGCTCTGCTCTGCTCGCCTTCCTCTCTCCTCTCACTATTGCTCATGTCACCTTCTGTTCTCAGAGATTCCGAGTTATGGAGGCTCTTCATCAGCAGCAGATGGAAACGAAGAAGAAGGTTCAGGTACCTCCTCCTCCTCCTCCTCTTCCTCTGATTTTTTCTTTTCTCCAGCGAAACACCCAATGTCGTCCGGGGGTGAAACCAAATCACTCGAGCGAACGAGTAGAGGAGGTTGAGGGTGAGAAGAAGGTTACCTGTCTCCTAGTTCTGATGTTGTGTCAAAGGTGACACTGTGGAGGAAGTTTCTTCAAGACAACCACACGAGGTTGTTGCTCTACCTCAGTCTTGATGACTTTAGTTTCTTTCTTTCTCATCGACCTCCCCTGCTTCCCCCCCATCGCTCCTGTGCGATGTCCTATCTGAACTTCCCATGTCGGCGATTTTCCCGTCTTCCCTGCTTGCTTCTCTTTCTTGCCTCCCTCTACCTCGTTTTGACCTTCTGCAGATTCTGGCTTCATTGGATCACACGACTCTTAAGAAGTATCGGCGGCAATTCCGCCTCGACATGCCCCTGCAGGTCATCCAGCTCTCTCTCCCTCCCTCCCCTCCCTCCCCTCCCTCCCCTCCCTCTTCTGCCTCCACCCTCTCTCCCTCCTCTCCCTCCTCTCCCTCGGAACTTGTTTGCTGACGCTTTCAGCAGGCGCCTCGTGAAGAGCTTGCCGAGGTGGTGGCGACCCACTTCTCCTCCAACAGGGTCCCAGCAGAGCATGTGAGGATCTGACGAGTCTCCTGCTGCTCACCACTCACCCGCCCTGGCTCAGATGACAATCATGAAGTTCCTTGAAGTCGTGAAGAAGAGAAAAGTAGGACAGAAGGGAGGGGGAGGGAGGGAGGCTGACTAGAGTTGGCAGGGGGGAGGAGCCGCTATCATCAACACCCTAGAGAACAAGCGAGCGATGCAGCGAGCCCTGGTGAGTCGATGTGGAGGTGAAGTAGCTTCCTGTGCTCAAACTTGCTTCAGCAGCAAGAGGAGGACCGCCCTGAAACATCGACCGAGGAAGAGAGTGAAGTTTACACCATAGAGATGGTGGGCCATTTGGACCCATTCCTCTTCCCCCGTCTCTCCTCCTCTTGTTCCTCGTCCTCCCCATCCTCCTCTGCTGACACCCTTCTCGCAGGATGGTCAGCGTATCGAGTTCAACCTCGGAGCGAAGGTGGGAGCGGCAGCAAGGGACTCACTTCTCCTCACCTTCACTCGCAGGTCACTGTCCTCTATGATGACGGCGAGTGGTACCCGGGCGAGATCTGCTCCTACACCGAAACAACTGGGAAATTTCGCTTCAAGCTTACTGAGGTATCCTCCTTCCTTGGCTCCCCGCCCCCCTTTCTTGAGACTTACTGACTCCCGTCCTCTACTACCCGACTGCTTCCTCCCGGCCCCCCCCCCCCACCCATGAGATGTCTGACTCCCGTCCTCTACTACCTGACTGCTTCCTCCCCACACACACACCCATGAGATGTCTGACTCCCGTTCTTCTTACTACCGACTGCTTCCTCCGGCCCCCCCATCCATGAGATGTCTGCAGGTGATCAAGAGCGCTTCAGACGCGAACCCGAACGCGATCGTGCCTGGAGGACCTCCGGTGAAGGTCTGACGGCAGCCCTGCCATGCTCCCTCTCACCCCCTTGCAGTCTCGAGCGGAGAAGGAGGTGGAGAAGGAGGAGGCGGCCAAGGCTGCGGCACTCGCGTCGTCAGGCATGCAGTCTCCCGGTGGGCCAGGAGGTTTGGGTCAAGCTGCAGGAGCTTCCAACGGTAGCAACGCGGGTGGCAGCGCCGTGTGGCAATAGAAGTGTATTGAATAGCGTAAAGTCAATGAATGCTGTTGTCTGTCCTGTCCTCCTCCCTTTCTCCAGGCTCCTCTCTCCTCGCCCCTCCTGCAAGCTCTCTTCCTTGTCTTCTCTCAAGCTCTCTTCCATCTCTTCTCTCAAGGCTCGCGCTGCCTTCGGATGACTCATGTCGACTCACTTCAAACTTTCTCGTCCTCTTCGTCTTGTCTTGTCCATGCCGTTCCCTTGCGGCTGGCCGAGTAGAAGGTGGAGCCATAGAAGGCTTGACGGGAGGAGAGCTCGTAGGGAAGATCGTCGTTACCGGGCTTGAGCACGAGGGATTGAATGCCTGCATTGCGGAGCACGTTGCTCTTGAGCAGCCCTGCCTCAGAGAGGTTGTTCATGGACAGGTCGAGCACTTTCATCTTCCTCAGTTTGTTGATGGCCTTGGGGAGATCGACGATCAGGTTCTCGTTGAGGTACAGCTCTCGCATGTGTGAGCATTTGGAGATGGAGTTTGGAATTTCTGCTATCCTGTTTCCTGTCAAGACAAGCACCTGAATCTTGAGCTCTGAGCTTTCAAACTCAGGCAAAGTCTTGATGCTATTGTGTGACAAGACAATGATTGTCACGCTCTTCAAGCTCCAGATCCCTGAGGGAAGAGCGTGAATGTCGTTGTTGTTGAGAATGAGGGAGGAAAGAGCTGCAAGATGCTGCGTCGCTTCCGGTATGATCACAATCTGATTGTGTCCAACCCTGAGGGTCTGCAGGCTCTTGACCAGGGGAGTCTCCTGTATCTGTGAAGGACCGGCTCCTCGCTTCTTGGTGAAGAGAAAATCCATGGCGTCCAGCTGGTTGGCCGAGACTCTGAGGACGTTGACTGAGATCTGTTGTAGGCTTGCAGGAAGAGATCGGAGCCAGTTGCTGCAGCAGTGAAGCTCTTGCAGAGACGTCATCAGGTCGATCTGGGGAGGAAGCGAGGTGAGTTTGTTCCCATCTAGAAAGACCTTGGTGATCTGACTGAGAACGCTGGCAGGGAGGACTGACAGACGCAGTTTCAGCACTTGATGACTGTAGCCCCTGTCCCGCACATCGATAGTCTTTGTGAAGACTGATGCTGCGATCCCCATAATGAAGTGATCAAGGGTTTGATGAGACGAGCATGCTTTTGTTCTTATCGTACCTCCTGAAGTTATGTCCAGAGTTGAAATGCAATCACTTAGAATGTCTTCCTGTGTTTGATCTGATCCCTAAGATGGGATAAAGAGCGTCTTCGAACGAGTAATGACATCTGCCAACACAATTCAAAATTCTGCCTGAGATGGAGTTTGAGATATCAGACTCCTTCTTGCTTTCTCTGTCAAATTGCAAATCGTTTCAAGAAAACTTCAACTCTCGTTCTCTCATCATCCTAGTCTTTCAAGCATACTCTTCCTCTTCCCTCCTCTTGCTTCACACATGTGAAACATCATACGCTCCTCCCCCTCC